CTGTTACAGGACACAGTACAGTCTGGTCACACTGTTACAGGACGCAGTACAGTCTGGTTACATTGGCTTTAGACACAACAGCACATTCCTCACTGCTTTTCACTGCAACATCAGGAGAGAGCACCTGTTCTGCTACATCAAAGGACCTACAGCACCCCAGGCTCAACTAACTGTATCTGTCTATTTGTCAAAACAGGGTCCTCCATGGGTCACCTCCTGAGAAGCACATCAGGAATGTCGTCAGTGGCTAAGGATGCTCTCTATACCAGACACTCGCAGTCAGCTTTTACCCTAGCAACATTTCAAATAAACCCTAACCTGGACTTGTAGGTGGGCTAAGGCACTTGCTGCCAAGCTTGAGGTGTGAGTTCAATTCCTTGAACCCACGCGGTGGAAGGAGAAAACCAAATCTTTTGTAGTCCTCTGACTTGCACATCAATGCTATGGCATGGATATGCTTCCCAACTCCCAAATAATGTAAAAACTCCTAAAACTCTGCCTTCCCTCTTACAGAACAGTGGAGGGTAGGTAGTTTTTAATAAAGAAAAAAGACCCCTGTTAAACACAATGAATTACAGACTGCTATCCTCATGTACTCCACATCTTGATGGGTAAACAAGGAAAAAACTGGTCCACTGCCCTTTGGGAGCCTAGAGATGAGGGGGAGGCTGAGCTCTCAAGGGCTGATGGGATCCAGGCCAGCACAGAGTCATTGTGTGGCAGAGATCACAGTGAGGTGTCTAAGCAGTCCCTATGGGAATTTTGAGTGCTTCTCAGGACAGATCTGCTCCAGAAAGGAAGGAGCACCACCATGAACTCCAAGGCACTCGGGCCACACTGGTCCTTGACAGAGAAAGCATCTCAGCAGTGCTGAGCCCTGGGGAAGAGGAGGCCCTGCCTCACTGAAGTGAAGAAATGCCAGACTCGAAGGTCTCAGGAGAGGGCTTTAGTGGTGGGATGCAGGGGGTGAGGGGAGGTAGGTGTGGGTGCCTGTGAACCAGGCAAAGTAGGTTTAAACTTCACGAAGCCAATATTCTGGAGCAGAAACATTATATGAGAACATGAGACCTAGTTTGAAAATGATAAAACCTGAAGCTCATTTTTTAGAAGAAGATAACTCTCCAGTTGTTTTATGAGTCAAAGCTAGAAAACACTGTCATTACTTATTACCCAAAATAGTAGGCTGAAATAGCATTTCTCAGCGATCCTCCACTTTACTCACCATACCTGGCCCTAAGTGACTCCTGCTTCCCCAAATCAAATTCACTCTCTGCCAAAAAAAGGTTCTGAGGATACCGAGAATGAGTCACAAGAGAAAGTTCCAAAAATATGTTGGGAAGAACAATATTGTAGGCTGATGCTCAGCACAGGCTGAACGCTTGCCCTGAAGTGGGTGTGAGAAGCACTGGCCTGTGGGAGACCAGCCTGCTGTGTTGCACTGGGCAGCATAAAATAACCTCCCTGGCTTACTCCTTTTTATTGTTTTAAAGGAAGAGCCTTTCTGTGTAGTCCCAGGCTGGCCCTATATACCCTAGACTAGCCTCAAGCTCAAGGCCCTCCCTCCTCAGTCTCCTGAGCACCCAGTGGACCTAGTTTTCCCCTCTGCTGCGACTGACATCTGCACACCATTCACGGTAGTGTATGGCTCCCCCACTCATCTTAAACCGGGCATCAATTACACATTTGTTCCACGCTTAGTTCTGTTCAGATCACTGTGGGGAGAAGGAGTTTGCACAAGGAAGCTAACTCTTCCCTGAACTATACACACGTGACATTGTTCTGTGGAGCCAGCGTGGACACGGAACCACATTTCTGAAGACAGGTGTACCCAGGCACATCTATGGAGTCCAATTCTACTTCAGTGCTCTCCTTAAACAGAAGACTTACTTTCATTATCTTAAACTCTGTATCTGTGTGTGAATATGTTCCTATGCCCTTGGGGGTCAGAAGCATCAGAATGCCCTGGAGCTCCTACTGGAAGTCGTGAGCCACCTCATGGAGGTCTTGGGAACTGAACTCAAGTCCTCGGCAAGAGCGGCAAGTGCCTCACCGCTAAGCCAGCCCTCCAGCCACACTTCAAGATTCTTACAGTATCACGTCTAGCTCAGCACATGTCAGTCTTTCTCATCCCTAAAGTTCTACACCACACAATTTAAACAACACAATTTGGTATTTGATTCCAGAAAGTGTTTTCTAGCTTGGTTATGTTGGAGTTTCATAATCCAATTTTTTTTGCCTTACAGACTTCTAGAACCTAGCCAGCTCACTGCTGAAAGCCAGTGGGTAGGAGCAGACCACAGGACGCAGAGGGACTGGTCACCGAAGACCAGCGTAGCAACCCATCCTGAGAAGTAAACGGCTCCTCCAACTTCACAATCTGCTGCTTTAAGACTCTCCTTGTGGATGTCTTCCTTTACTAGGGCAAACTGCCAGATTTAGTAAATGTTAATTATGGCAATGAATTGAATTCAAGGAAAGAAGAAAGATTCTCTCTTAACAGATTTTGTTTTCAATGTATAACATTTGTGAAGAACAGGTCTGTGGTGCTGGAGAACCATTAGCTGGCATTGCTGAGGAACCAGTGGTCTGCTGTAAAGTGAATTAATAAGGCACCCAAGTATTCTTTGTTCTGGTGATACAGTTTTGTCTCACTTGGAACAGTGTCTTTTACAGATGCACTGCCTTTTGGAGTAGAGGACAGGGTCTCAAAGAATCTTCCCTCAATGACAAGTTGTCATTATTAACATATAATCATATCTATAACACTAATCTGTGCTACATAACAATGTTCTCCTCAGAAACCTTAATCTGAAAGCAACTTCTCACTTACTTTTCTTTCTTTCTTTTTTCGAGACAGGGTTTCTCTGTGTTTCCAGGTTGCGCCTTTCCTGGAACTCACTTGGTAGCCCAGGCTGGCCTCGAACTCACACAGATCCACCTGGCTCTGCCTCCCGAGTGCTGGGATTAAAGGCGTGTGCCACCACCGCCCGGCCTCACTTCTTTTTCTGATGTCACAGGGTATATACTCTTCTATATATCTACTGAGAACGATACTGTTAAACAAGCTTACTCTTCCACGTCTCTACCAGCCCACGGATCTACTGAGAATGAGAGATACTGTTAACCAACCTTACTGTACTAAGAGCAGGCTGCTGACGAAAGCCTGGCATGGGTTAGGAAGGTAGGGTGTAGAGGTAAGGCTTATCCTGCTCATTTTCACTGTTTGTTTTCTTTTAAGTCTGAGTTTTGGATTGGAGCTATGTGTGGCTGGGGTTATAGAAAATGACTTCCGCATAATTTATAGTTAGCTATGTCCTTGGGTAAGGCTGTGAGGGAACTTCAGAGAACTCCTTTATTAAAATATTTACTTAGATTTCCTATAGACCAAGCACTATAGACAAAGAAATGAATAAAATACTTCTCACAGGTTTGTAATCTAGCCGGCATGGA